GGTTTTGGTTCAGGGTTTAGGGTCTATAATTTCCAGGACGGCCCATGTATCTAAAGTTTCAGCACTGTTTGTTCATCGTCGAATCCCGAACGCACCGATGATTGTGTTGCCCTGTGGTTGCAGCCTGCACACCTGAACCCAACACCCAACACCCTCACAGTCTCACAGCCATCATTGTTAATGTCCTCAGCCCTTTGACGCCTAGTAGAAACCCTGAATTCCTCGTTTAGAACTGTGAATGTTTATACCGATTAGAAACTCCGTCATCGATACTGCTACAGTACAATGTAGTGGACAGTAGTAAGATCTAGTACAGTCGAGTGTAGACTAGTATAGTATAGTATAGTCTAGTCTAGTCTAGTCTAGTCTAGTATATCATAGTCCAGTCTAGGCTAGTCTAGTCTAGTATAGTATAGTCTAGTATAGTAGCATAAAAAGCCCGAACTTGTCGCTTGCAGGCTATTTGCCTAACTTTGTTGGCGCCAGCGTCCTCGGCAAGCTACCGGTTGCTGGGAGACTCCTGCGCTTCTTCGGGTACAAACCTGTAACTCGGACGTTCAACACCGAGGAACCTGATGCACATGGGTAGTTCTCCAAATGAGGGTCCCTTTTAGGGTCCTTATTATAAGGGGGCCGTACTATATTGGGGACCTAAAAAGGGACCCTAATTTAGAGAACTACCCACATGTCACTTGAGAGTTAGATGATGTAAGGGTCATGTTACATGTTTCGCATCTCATCTAAGCCAGAAGCCCTACTACCCCTAGCCCTGCACCTTGGCCCAAAACTATGAGCCAGATAACTCCCCTAGAAGTCTAAACTTAGGGCCCGAAACTAGAAGCCAAGCCATGCCAAACCCTCCTAAACCCTAAACTCTAAACCCTAAATCCTAAAGCCTAAAACCTAAGCCTTTAAACCCTAAACTCTAAACCCTAAATCCTAAACCCTAAAACCTAAACCTTTAAACCCTAAACCCTCAGCCGACCATATGAGCCTCTGGAGCCTCGGAAGATGAGATCTGATCTGAGGCCACCCCGGAGGCCATCCGTGAGTTCAGACCTCAGCACTATGCAGGGGTTTAGTGTTTAGTGGACTATGCAGGGTTTTAGGGTTTAGGGGTTCAGGGTTTAGGGTTTTTGCTGGGGCGTCTTCTCTCAAGGTTTCGGGGGTATAGAAATGGGCTTTGACGCTTGACCCCAACTCGATGAATTTCAGTTCGACAGCTGACCTGCGAGTGCTTTCCAAGAGAAGTCTCAGCGCTGAGCCGAACCCTCAAAGCCGCAGCCGAATAGTATCAAGATACCCACATTAGGATTTAGGGTTTAGGGCTACAGACAATCTCTCTCTGAACTGCAGCTTCCCGGCTTTGACTCCTAAACACTGAACCAAACCACATGTGACAACAGTGTATATATGAAGAATGCCATCCTGGTTGTCCTGGTCGCAAGACAAGTAGTCGTGTCTTTCTACAACATGTGGTGTTCAAGGTCCGCAGGCGCCAGGTATGCCTATGCCCAGGTGCTTGGCGAAGGAGTACCCCCGGAATGTCACGATCATTATTCCTGGCGGCATATCGGAGATGTTTAAAATCCGTGAAGATGTCGAGGCATGTCACCTGGTAACCTACTTACAAAGTTGAGTCACTGGATGTAGTCACGGTGCGTTTCGATGCCAAGCTCCAGCATTGATCTTTCGGAAGCCTGATGCTCTGATTAGTCATGGTTTCATGAAGTACCTTGAAGCCAAGGGTTGATGGAGTCGTTCAGAGTCATTCACAGGGAAGCTTATGCTTGATTCACCATAGACAACCTGTCCGCAAAAGCCAGAGTCTTTGGACCCAAGCCGTAAACCTTCAACTTGTAGACAACATCATAGCATCATGTGTGGACGTGTTTCAAGTAACTATCTCCCAGCACCCCGAGGCCCGCAAGACCGCTTCGTTTGGGGTCCAGACTACACCTCATCGTGTCCTTTTCGGATGGGTCGCAGGTCTCGTGTGCCAACACTCGCTTGGGATTTGTGAAGCCGGCGGCTTACCCCCAAGAAGCAGATTTCTGAGACTGCTTTTGCTGCAAGTGTCACGTGCGCTTCGGCTGCGCAGATTCGGAGCTTCGAGTTGTTGGGGTTGGATTGTTGCTTTGGTCTCGCGGGCTGGCGCTTCGAAACTTTGTGTCCGAGCTGCGATTCAGTCTTATGTTCTTGTCTCACAGTTTCTTGGAGACTAAGGGATCTCTTACTGGTAGCATGGTTAATTGCACGTGCAGAGAAAGCGCGAGAGAGAGAGAGAGAGAGAGACAGAGAGAGAGGGAGGGAGACAGAGAGAGAGAGAGAGAGAGAAAGAACACAAAAGGGAGGGAGTTTTGCAAGGGAAACCGTGTGCCAGAGCTCTCAAGCTCCCTGGAGCCATAGACTCAGACTTAATTAAGTCAGCTAGCAATGAATGTTTGAAGCGAGACCTCTGACCCTGAAGCTATACACTCAACGGGCCTCGAAGCGCTGGGTTTCCAAAAGCAAGCACAGACCGTTTGGACTTGAGCTACAAGCTCTTATGCTATGCTCGAAGGACTAGACCCTAGTTATGAGTGTTCAAGATGCGGGATGTCGAACTGAGCGCGCGTTTGCAAAGGATGGGCCTGCTATAGCGAAAGGCCTCACTGCGCTTGACACAAAGGCTTAGGAACCAGAAGCCCTAAAGCGGGAACCCTAAACTCTAAACCCCAACCCTGAACCTTGAACCTACTACATCCCAAGCCGCGGAGGCTGGCCAAAGAGCAGGGGGTAATGCTCGTGCCTGGCTACATGCTCGGGAACTCGCAGCTCTACCAGGTCGGGGATTTAGGGGGGTTTGGGGTTTCAGGGTTGAGGGTATTGGAGTGAAAAAGAGGCTACCCCAAACAGAAAAGGCAGGTAAAATAATGGCCAACACCGCTAAACGGCTATAATTATTCTAGATTCTACATGCTTTTGGGGTTCAGGTAGGGGTTTACAGGGACTTGATACGAGTTTTGAACGAGTTTGTCGCGTGTTCTAAGGCGGCTGAAGATTTCACCAGCGGCTTTGGGTTTTCAGAAGGGTTTCATGAGGAGGCTATGTTGGGTTTGTTAGCTTCATGGCTGACCAAAAATATGCATGGGGTTTGGGGCACGACCCTAAACCCTAAACCCTAAGATTTGACGACTTGGGGCTTGGGGGCTCTGTGTTTTCAGTTTGCCGTCCCGCATGCCGAATGTCTCCTGGCACTTGGAGACCGAAGGGCTCAGGCTTTAGGAACTTTGGGTGTTTTTTTTTTAGGAATTTGAGGGCTTAGGGATTTTGGGAAAATTAGGGTTAGGGTTTTTAGGAACTTGAGGGTTTGGGGTTTTTTGTAGGAACTTTAGGGTTTAGGGTTTTTACGAACTTTAGGGTTCAGGGTGTCTAGGAACTTTAGGTCTTAGGGATTTTAGGAACTTTGGGTCTTAGGTTGATGAGTTTGGGACCTAGGACATAGGGTGAAGGACGAGGTTCCTCCAATTTTGTCGGGGAGTTCGCTTTGAAGCGCGTAGTGTGCGGAAGGTCTTTTCAATCTACATAGGCTTCTTCATGTTCCTGTCAATAATAGGAAAAGACCATTCCCTAAAGCTCCAAGCCTACAGCTAGTACCTACTTTGAGGCCTAATTTAAAGTCTATAAATAGTATCTACTTTGGGCTATTGCGAGTCCTTCTTGTTGCGACAAGAAATTTGCACAGCACATAACATGTCCTGAGTAATGGGCGTGTTTCACAACCCCATGATGCCGCCCATGACGACGGCATAGATGCTAATAACCCCAACCTACCTTCAACTACCAATACCCTAGAGAAACACATGGAAGACATAGCCCTACATAAGAGTAGCTCTTGGGTAGGCTGAAGACATGCAGTAAGCCTTTCTTAAATCCCCAAAGCCACCTAAACCCTTTAAACCCTAAACCCTGAGCCATAAGCCCTAAACCCTAAACCCCTAAACCCTAAACCCTAAACCCTAAACCCTAAACCCTAAACCCGAACCCAAGAAAACACCCAAGAAGCCCGCAGCTCGGAGACGACTTCCCTCAAGCCGCGCAGCCCTAGGGCCCGGCCCCCTAAACTCAGCCATAAATATTCCGAACCCTCACCCTGAACCCTAGACCCTAAACCCCGAAACCTTGAACCCTAAACTTTGGGGTTCAAGGTTTCGGGGTTTAGGGTTTAGGGGCCCGAAGCCCTAAAACCCTGAACCCTTGAATCCTGCAACAGCAACCCCATTTTAGAGAAAAGCTCTAAAGGTGGCGAAGGGATTCCTCGGACAGCTCTTTGAGAACATCAGCCGCCGGCACCGGGGGGTTGTGAGGTGTTGAAGGTTTAGCTTTGGGTTTAGGGTTTAGGGTTTAGGGGTTTAGGGTTTAGAGGTTTAGGGTTTAGGGTGTAGGTTTAGCTTTACGAGAGGGTGTTTCTTTGGAGAACGGGTTTTGGAGAGCTGCTGGAATCAGATTCTTGCAGGATTGTTGGAGGCATTAGTTCCGGGGCTGTTTTGCAGGGGATGGAAGATTTTTCACATCCGGTGTTTTTTGAAGAGTCTTTTGCTTCGAGGGTTATCTGGCCTTTGGCCATCCGCAGGCTTTGAGTCGGTTTAGGGTATAGGAGCTTGGGGCTGTGCCAAGTCCTGTTCATGGCGTTGCCATTGGCTTCTTTGCAAGGGTTCGCCGCCCAAAGACCTTGGCCTGTACCATACCCCTGAACCGAAACCCCGAGACCGTATAATTAAGCCTTGTAGATACTTGTAGACACCAAACAAACCCTCATAAGCCCTTTTTAAAGACTTCTCTGGTCTTATAAGCTTCACAGCCCGCGCAGCCGATGCTGTTTAGGTGTGTTCCTGGAATCCAACGGTTTTTCGTAGCCGAACATAGCCCCCAAGCCTTCGAAGCCTTCCCCGCTTCTTAAGTTCATCCCGAAGCCCTGTAGGGTTTAGGGTTTACAACCCCTTTCAAAGCCAAAGCGCTGTGGATCTTCTATAACCCGTGAGCTACAAGGGTCTTCTAGCCGGAGTCAAGTCTACACAGACTGAAACTCCTTCCTCCTCACGCCTTATCAGCCTTGTATACCCCATGAAGAACCCTAAACGCAAAACTTGCAAGCCTAAAGTCTCAACCAACTCAGCTTTGTAAGCCCAAACGCCGACAAAACATCAGAAATGGAAGCAGGCTAAAGACCTCCATCACCCCTTTCCATGGGCGCTGGGGCACGCTTCTGTTCCTCGGCCCTTCTTTGTCTAGGGTTGCGGTACAGGAGCATAAGCAGTAAGTATAGGGTTGTGGTCGTAGGATCATGAGGCCGAGTGTCGGTGCAAGTGCTGTTTGTTCTCTGGGCTCTGGCCGTATCGTACTTACGCAAGTGTTGATGATCGTTCTATTGCTTTGCGCCGAAGGCCTTTTCTTGTTTTGGTGCTGTTAGTTCACTGCTGCAGAGCCGCTGCTAAAACCTCCTCACGCTCGCCCAACAGGTGCACCTCAGAGTGCCAGAGGAGGGTTTTGAAATGGCTTCCTTGCAGAGGCATGCGAGTATCGGGAGCTTCAAACCCCACTCAAGTCGGAGCTGATCACTTCAGTGCTTCCTGAACCAAGATGACACTACCCATAGGCTCCATGGTAGTTCCTGTTTGGGATTACCTTATAGGATTCTAAATATAAGCCACAAAAAGGAACTACTTAGGAACCTATGGGTATGGCCTTTAACAAGTGCTCCCAAGCCGACCTCGTAAGTCCCGTGCTGATACTCAGGCCATTTCCTCAGAAGCTCGCTTGTGCTCTGGGTGAGCCCATTGACCCTTTCCTGCAGCATCACACGCTTAGGGGGCTCACCGCTTCAGACAGAAGTTCCTAGGGCTCGTTTTAGGGTTTAGGGTATAGGGTTTGGGGTTTAGGGTTTAGGGCATAGGGTTTAGGGTATAGGCTTTGGGGTTTAGGGTTTAGGGTATAGGGTTTAGGGTTTCCTGCTTCTCACCGGCCATTGTGTCTCTGAAGGGAATCTTGCAGCAAATATCCAAATCCATGGTGTAACTGGTCGACGCCTTACTGTCCAGCTGCTTCCGACCCTAAACCCTTTCTGCCTGAGTCGGTTTTGAGTTCTTTTGCTTTAAGACTTTCTCGCCTCTTGCAATTTGAGGCTTGCTTCTCGATCGTGGGGCTTGGGGTTAGGGCTGGTAGGGCTCGCAGAACCGGATCGTCTTACATGCGGCTTGATTCACAGCTTAAAGGGCTTAGGGTTCCGAGTTTCGAGTTGTTTGCCACGGACTTGGGGTTTAAGGGTTCGCTTCTGGATTGCAATCCCCAAGCTCTAAGGTCAAGTGAACTGGACTATTGGTCGACCGGACTAAACTTCACAATTTTGTCTTGGCTGTGAGCCCTTGGCAGCCCCAGAACGGAACGCCATAAAGCTCCGATTCGAGACTTGAACGGGTGGAAGCGCTAAACCCTAGATACATGCTTGTTATGAGCATTTGGCTGATACCAGTACTGCTACACCCCGAACTGGAACCAGCCATACTTGGCCCCTTAACTGCCAACTTAAATGAACCCCGGGACGTTTTACAAACCCAGAACCGTCGGCGAGGACACGAGACTTTGTGCGACCGTTGAGGAAGCTCACAAGAAATGGATCAAGGCTGCGGGGGCAGCGGACACCATTAACACAGAGACCCGCATTAATACGTGCATGCGTAAATACAAAATTACACTCACCGACACCGACCCGTCCATGGACGGACGCATGCAGACCGACACGGGTACATGCTACACGCTACCGTTGCTTGCTCTGCAGGCAGTCGGTGCAAATTGACGACACTGCCTGACCTGAACATGTGGATGCTCTTTCCCAACACGACGTATTGCAAGTAATAGGGGCAAGTTTCTGGAAGTTCTGGAACCAAACTTTTTTGTTCGAGCCTCTGGCGCTCGCTCCTTTGACCGGTGGTGCGCGGTATAAACTCTGCTTGCAGGGTCTTTGCAACGCTTACAATGCCCACAAGGAGATGCTGGCTTGTGCTAATTTCCATTGACAGAGATGGAGTTTACGAGTCAATGAGTTTAGGGCTAGGGCTTTACAAGTCAGGCTTTTCAGACAAAAGGGTGCGGTCTAGGGTGTACAGATTATGGAAATACGTATCATGAGTTAGCGTACTGCTGCACAGGGGTTGGTATAAACATAAGAACCTTGTCTGAAATCCGCCTCCAGCTTCTGTCTCTTCAAGAAGCTATGTAACCGAGGTTCTATAAACCCATGCACTTGCTGGTCAGCCGGTTCTGTACACGGATAAGCTGAATCCCTCAGAGCAGCATTGCCCAAGTGCCCACAGTCGTTTTCCCATTGAACTTCCGGAGTCTAAACACCTTTTGAAAGCTTTTTTCTGTGCTGAAGCATCCCACGGAACTGCCTGCATTTCCCCCTTTTGGCATCCTGGGGTTCTTTTAAACCCTACTTTGTAGCCGAAAAGACCTACCCTTTTTAGGGCTCCTTATTCTGGTTTCTATATATGTAGTTCCTTAAAAGGTAAGTCTTTTCGGTTAAAGGTAAACCCTACTTCGCTGGATTGCAGATTGGGGAGTGGCACTCGTAGACCTGCCGTGGCTGATGAGCCCGGAACCACGGATCTAATCCGAAGCTGTGAAGTACCTATAAAACCCTACAAACCCCGAAGTCCAAATGGGAGGACGAATTTGGCTGGGCTGGCCGGCGTCTTTATTTTGAAGGTGAGACGCTGCCAGCTCAACCGGCAGACCCTCTTGAGGCACGATGTGGGGGTTTGGAAAAGTGGGGGAGCCTAATTCTTATTGGACCATGTGGAAGATGACAACCGCTACATAAGGAAGCCTTCTTGTTCATAAGCCCGCTGCAGCACTGCAGCATGTCTTCGAAGCATGCATCAACCCTGGATCCTTCCCAAGCCAAGCAGTTGAACCCAGGGAGTGTGGGGTTTAGGGTTTGACTTGCTAGGAGACCTAACCCTAAACCCTAAACTCCTAAACCCTAAAACCTAAACCCTAACTCAGAGACCAAGACTAGACAGGCTTGGTGCCCTAAGGAGTCTTCCTCCCCGGCCATTCCTCTCCGGCCATTCATTCGGACCATGAACAGATCACAATTTGGAGGTGTCAGCTACCGTCCGAGGTTTGTGGCTAGTGATGGGAGTAGTAGTCGTCGTCGTCGATTTTGCAAGTTTCAGGTTCACGTTTATGCGGCTGAGGGTTTGGGCTTTCCACACATCATCCCAAGACCGAGCTCCTAGCTTCAAACCCTGAACCTCTGTTTGAAGCCATACAGCGAGACACCTGAAGCCCTATAGCCCTATAGCCCCAAACCTAAGGAAGTCCTGCAACCCGAAGCCTAAACCCTAAACCTGAAGCCATATTCGTAGCCCTGCACGTCGAACCCTATGACTGGCAGGCTTACACCACTCTGCCCAGACTCAGCAGGCTTTGAGTCCGGATGACTGCAGATCTTGCTTTGATGCCGAGGTCGTCTTCACAAAGTTTAGGGTTTAGGGTTTAGGTTTAGGACTCGAAAGCTGGATCATGGGACCTCGGCCTCACTTTTCAATAACATCACTTTGGGCTTGGTACACTAGCCTGCCATCTTGGAACACATTTAGCTTCCGGAGGCAGGCAGTTGTTCAGCCCTTTTTGTACAACACCTGCATGTCCTTGCTGTGCCCCGAGAGTCCTAGACACTCCACACGGTTCCTAGGAAGACTGTGCTACTGGTCTCCTTACATGTACAGCATCCTGCTCCCAGGTGGTACGTGCAAGACTGCTGCTGCACCTGACAGCCTGAAAAGGGTAATGTAGGGGCCTCAATAGTTAGAATAGGGTTTTGGGGGTTTCTTATTATAATTTATAATTATAGTATAATGGGCCCCAAAACCCTATTCTGATTATTAAGGCCTCTTTTTAGGACTCTGCTTCTCTGCGGCCTGCCGCCATGATAGGTACCTGCTCAGTCATGGGCAAACTCCTGGAAGACCGTTAGGGCTAGCCTTGTATGCGTTAGCTGTATCTAGCTGAATCTAGTTATCTAGTTGTCCAATAGCCGAAAATCGAAATACTGACAAACAACCACGAAAATTTGTGCTGAATGCAGACGGGCCATGGAACAGTCATGGCTGGCTTTCCATGCTGATGGAATAGACTTGTGCGTTTTTGTCAGATAGGCCACAATAAGCAACTGAAAGGTTCTGGCTTATCAGGTCTCTTGGCATGAGGGGAATCTGGAAGCAGCAAAGCCTGCATGGGTAGTTTTCTCCGTGGGACACGGATTCGTTCCCAGCCTGAACCAACTGCAGCTGCACTACTTCGGGGCGCGAGCGTGGGCTCTAGTCCCAAGCTGGCACTGTTGACGACAGTCTGCTAGAGAACTCTGTTTCTCATGGCAAAACCTGTGGAAAGTGTTCCGGAAGAGCTGGAAGAGGTCGACGTGGTGGAGCCAGAACGCAAGCCTCACGAAGAGCCGGATAGAGGGCAAGTGGAGGAGCCAGAACCCAAGCCCCACAAAGAGCCGGACAGAGGACAAGTGGAGGAGCCAGAATCCAAGCCCCACAAAGAGCCGGATAGAGGGCAAGTGGAGGAGCCAGAACCCAAGCCCCACAAAGAGCCGGACAGAGGACAAGTGGAGGAGCCAGAACCCAAGCCTCCGAAAGAGCCGGATAGAGGGCAAGTGGAGGAGCCAGAACCCAAGCCCCACAAAGAGCCGGACAGAGGACAAGTGGAGGAGCCAGAATCCAAGCCCCACAAAGAGCCGGATAGAGGGAAAGTGGAGGAGCCAGAATCCATGCCCCACAAAGAGCCGGATAGAGGGCAAGCGGAGGAGCCAGATCCCAAGCCTCACAAAGAGCCGGACAGGGGGCGAGTGGAGGACACAGAACCCAAGCCCCACAAAGAACCAGATAGAGGGCAAGTGGAGGAGCTAGAATCCAAGCCCCACAAAGAGCCGGACAGGGGGCGAGTGGAGCAGCGAGAACCGAAGCCTCAAGCAGCAGCTGCAAGTAGTCCTCCGCCAGCTGCAGAGCAGCCTGTGCCTCATCCTGCCTCTGCGCCTTCGGGAAGCAAAGCTCCCGCACCTGCTGACACGGGAGCCCCGGCAAAGAGCCAAAAGCAGGCTTCGCAGTCGTGGTGGGGTCGCTTTTCTTCATTTTTCGTCGCGTCCCCACCCGAGAAGAAGGCGGAGCCTCAGGCAGAGCCGTCAGAGCCTCGTGCATCTGCAGTTCAGCCGGAACCTCCGCTCCCGGCCCCAGCGAGTCCACCACCTTCCGACTCCGGTTCGAGGACGGACGAAGCACAGCCAGCCCAGCCAGCTGAAAAGCCTCCAGCAGATGCACCTCTGGTGTCAAGCACTACAGGCACGCTCTGGTGGAGGGTCTTCTTGGGCATGTAGTTACATAGTCAATGGTATTTTTTGGTACCTCTAGGTATGGTGTTGCAGACAGAACGTGGTCATGATTGATTTGTATGTGGTTCGCTTGCATGCACAGGCATACACATGCATGCATGCATGCATGTGCATCTGCAAAACAGAATGAAGTTGAGCAATGCCGGCTCTGTCATTAGATATGCCCAAGCATCATTGTTTACAAGTGTGTTGTATGCCGATTGCAGGTGTGTGTGTATATATATATATATCTCTTATATATATATATATGTGTTTACATCTGTATCTCTCTCGCTCTCCCTCTCTCTCTCTCTCTCTGTGTCTGTCCGTCTCTGTGTCTTTGTCTGTGTTTAGTGTGTGTGTGTATTTATATGTATACACAAACCATGTAAGGTGATTCCGCAAGTACGCATGCATGCATGTACGTATCCATATATGTACGAATCAACGAATGACTGACTGACTGAATGAATGAGTGAATGAAAGGCTGAACGAATGAATGCATGACCGAGTGGGCGAAGGAATGAATATGTGTATGCATTCATGCATGCATGCATATAAGTGTGTATGTATGTATGCATGTCTGTCTGTCTGTCTGTCTGTCTGTCTGTCTGTCTGTATGTATGTATGTATGTATGTATGTATGTATGTGTTCGTGTGACAGCGCGAGCCTTCACATGAAAACGCATGTACGCACACACCCAAACATGTTAGCACACATGTATATATGCATGTATGTATGTTTGTTGGTATGTTTGCATGTCTGTATGTTTGTATGTCTGTATGATTGCATGTTTGCATGTTTGTATGTTTGTTAGTTTGTTTGCTTGCTTGCTTGCTTGCTTGTTTGTTTGCTTTTTGTTTTGTATGTTTGTCTGTTTGCTTCGTTGTTTGGTTTGCTTGTTTGTTTGTGTGCGTATATGTACATGTACATGTATGTGTATCTTCATTAAATAAATAAATAAATGAATAAATATATATATATATATATATATACATATACAAGTCCAACTACCGAAAGGAAAATTGAAGCTAATGCGCATGCGGTGGGCATCGCTGTCTTGCCTGCACCCAAACCCTAAGCCCCAAACCCCAAACCCTAAACCCAAAAACCCTAAACCCCAAACCCTAAACCCTAAACCCAAAAACCCGGAACCCTAAACCCTAAACCCAAAAACCCTAAACCCCTAAACCCAAAAACCCTCAACCCCAAAACCCTAAACCCTAAACCCCCAGACCCTAAACCCAAAAAACCCTAAACCCTATAATAAACCCCAAACCCCAAGCCCTAAACCCCTAAGCACCCAAGACCGACGTTCAGGAGTCTCGAAAGAACTCCCAGCCGTAGAGCCGATGCCGGCTCCGAAAGCGACTGCTCCCGACGCGACTTCGTATGCAGCACGTAAAGGTTTAGGAGTTTAGGGTTTAGGGTTTAGGAACTTTGGGGTTTAGGGTTTAGGGGTTTAGGGTTTAGGGGTGAGGGTTCAGGGTTTAGGGTTTAGGAACTTTGGGGAGATATGGGAGACAAGGCTTCAAGAGGGGCAGGGCATCCAGGAAGTCTTGCCAACCAGGAAGCGGCCCTAAATCCTGTTCATGCAGATTCAAAGCTTCTGCGGGTTCGGGGCCACCATGGCGCTTCAGAAACTTATACTCCGGAATGAAGCAGTTGTTGATGATCTGAAGTAGGTCCTTGTTACCTTCTATAGGATGTTCGAAGATTCGGCATCGTTTTCTCGCATCCCACTATTCAGTGCCTGGCCCCAGCGTTTAGATTTCAAGTCTTTGATTTTCGGCGCACTGAGTTAGAGAATAGAACAGACAGGAGGAAGATGACAAGTGATGCTGCTGATATCAACGAGAAGAAAGATCACGACATTTGCAGCATAAACAATGCTACTTGCTGAAACTACACTAGCGGTGTCTGTGGACAACCAGAGTAAACCCTAAACTCTAAACCCTAAACCCTAAACTCTAAGCCCTAAACCTCCGGCTTTATGGAAGTTTAGAGTCGCTTCAGAACTTACTCTCAGAGGCTTCTTCGAGTGTTTGTGTTGTAGAGTTAGGGTCAGGGTTTAGGATTTGAGTTTTTTTGCTTTAGGGTTTGGGGTTTATCGTTTAGGGTTTAGGGTGTTTGTGTTGTAGGGTTTAGGGTTTAGGGCCGGGTTTAGGGCCTGGCCGTGCTGAGCTTCATCGAGTTCCTGGGTGGTAGGGTTTGCGAAGAATGCTTGGGTTCGGTGGTTTCGGCAAAGAACTTATGGGCCTAGGCTCAAGGTTTGGGGTGGGGTTCTGGGTCCCTGTGCTTCCAAGGACCTTGTAGTTAGGGCCCTAGGCCCCTGAAGGACCCAAATAATAAGGTCCCTGGAAGCATAGGGTGTGGCAAAGTTTGTGTATTTCACCCTTGAGAAAGGAATCTGAATCTGGAACAGCCAGCCATGTGGCTTTGGGCTTCATTTAGGGGCTCAGGGTTTGCAGCTTAGGGCTTGGAGTTCGGATCATGAGCTCTTGTAGAACCTTAGGGTTTAGGGTTTATGGCTGTGCAAGACAGCCTAAGTTTGGGGACTTTAGCTGCTAACCTCGGACCACTTCCCGTTGGCCTGTCGCGCATCATCGTGAGCATGATCCCCCTCTTTAATCTCTCGCAGACATAGCAAAATCTGACGCCTAGAACCGTAAACCCAACAAGCCCTAAACCCTGAACGATAAGCCGGAAACTGCGAAGTCCCAAACCCTGAAACCCTCAACCCCAGAGACCAGAAACGCCGAAGAGCCCTGAAGCCGTACGCCCTATATCAAAGCCCCTAAGACCTAAATTCGGAAATCGTAGGCACTGAAGCCCTTAATGCTCAACCCAGGAGCAGGCTAAGGGGTGGGCTCCGGATGACGACGAAAGGGCGATCATCGCGCGGTTTGCGAAGCGCTGGCAGGCACGGTATAGAGTTGAGGGTCACACAGGTTTAAGGGTTCAGGGCTTCTGGTCGTGGGGTTTCGGGTTTAGGATTTGGGGCTCGGCGTGTTCGGGTTGAGAGTTGTGGGTTTAGGAGTTGGGGTCTGGGGTTTAGGGTTGAGGCCGTCATCCCCAGTCGTCAGCCGATGGGGGTTTTGAGGTTACTAGTTAGTTATAAGAGGTATTATAAAGGGCACTACTTAAGTCCTCAGTATCGTCAATTTAGGTGCCCTAAACCCTAAACCCTAAACCCTAAACCCTAACATGGTATTCTGAAACGAGGGGTAAAGCCAAACCTCGGTAGAGCGTCGGACTCAGCATTTCTGCAGTGACGAGGCTGAGGGCATACTTTGGCAGGGTTTAGGGTTTAGGGCTTTTTGTTTAGTACTTTGGTAGGGTTTAGGGTTCAGGCTGTAAGTATCCGGTATGTTACTGTATAAGATTCCCCCCCTTTCGCAAAGACATCTTGTTCTAATTATTAAGGCCACTGTACCCCTAAGTCCCCGATAGTAGCCCTTATAGGACCGAGAACCTTGTTAAAGGCACCCTATTCCGAGGTGAATTGTGCGATTTAGGGCTGCGCAGGGGTTTCGGCGTGAGGATTTTCACTTTGTCAGGCCATGGGAAAAGGGCTTCAGGCGCGAAGCCCCTAAAACCGAAACCCAAAACCTTATAAAGCAGGATTTTGGGTTGGGGGACTATATAATCCTCATAGGGTTTTCGGATTTAGGGTTTAAAATCTTCACGTTTAGGGTACAACACCGGTTTGGTCGTTCATATCGGGTTCTGGCTTGACCTGCCTGCCTTCCAGGCCAAGGCCAAGCTGTCAGCAAAGACAAAGAGCAGTCTCGCAGAAGTTGCAACTGACCCTTGTTAATTTACCTTGGGGGGGGGGGCGGGGCTGCAATGTTTTTTTTTTACGGTTGAGGGAAATGGTTTGATCAATGCGTCCTAAGCCTAACCTTCACGGACTCGACTAGCAGCAGCTTGGTGTTGTTCTAAACTCTGGCTCGCGGACCTTTCCAGGATCTCCGTTTCGAGGGAGATTCTCGCAAACATGTTTTAGCACGTTTCCGCTATTTAAAGAAAAGTCTGAACCCCAACAGCTTCAAACAAGCCCCAGCTCAGGAAAGCCTCCCGCCGCTGATTCCCATTGAGGAGGGCACCCTCCCAGAGGTTGCGCGGCCCGCCGCCACCGACGAAGCGGCAACTGCGGCCGCCTCTGCGGCCGATGCTTCGATGAAGAAGCCTCCGGTGAAGACCGAAAAGCTAGAGCTGCCACGGGCTGCGGCTGAGCTGCAATCCTTACGTAAGTCGTAAGAGTTTTTGAGCGGATATTTCGAGTGTGCGTCGCATTGATTGCCCTGAGTTTGCAATGCCTTTTTGCGAGTTATCTGTGAGATTGTTATGAAAGTCAACTGGAAGCAATCGATTCCGTTGTTAGTATTCAGCAAGTGTAGAGTTCCTATTAACTTCACCAAGGGGATTAGCGATAAATTAGCGAGAAATTTGTACTCAATCAGCGAGAAATTTGTGAGAGGTCTTAGCGAAGCCATATTGAATTTTAAGATGAACCGATCGATGTCCTGTTACTTTTCATAGGAACATCTGGAATTCGTATGAAGTTTGAAACAAGAATCAATACTAATTTGTAATGGGGATCAATGAGTTTCCTAGCAACCGTGGTCCCTCAAAGCCTTCAAACTAATCAATGCCTGTCTAACATTAGGGGGCTTCTAGGACTTTGTGGGGTGATACTTATGATTATATAGGGATCCTAAACCCTAAACCCTAAGCCCTAAACCCTAAACTCTCAACCTATACAGTATTTGCACAGGCCGTGGCGCAAGACAAAGCGGCACTTCCGAGCGTCTCGCGGAAGCCTGTTGCCACGCCGAGAGCTACTCTCCCAGGACGTAGGGTTCTAGGGCGTTTAGGGCTTTAGGGTTTTAGGGTTTAGGGTTTTAGGGTTTAGGGTTTAGGGTTTAGGGTTTTAGGGTTTTAGGGTTAGGTTTAGGGTTTTAGGGTTTAGGGTTTTAGGGTTTAGGGTTTAGGGTTTAGGCATGTCAGCCAGGGCAGTTCATTGGGGTTTGAGGCCATTCAGGGTGTCGGTCATGGAGTACTAGCATATCAGGGCGCCAGGGTGTTAGCGTGGTCAAGCTATACGGTGCTAGGGTTTCGGCGGGCTAGCCTGTAAGTATAGTCTAGTGAAATGTAGCTATAGAGGGACTCCAAGAATACTGTGTGTCGTTATTCAGACCCCTTGTATAGGGGTACCCCTAGCCCTTGTAGCACCCAATTCAGCAACTACCAGTTGTTGAATTGCTCAGACGAGTTGTCACGGCGAGATTTCAGGATAGAGTGCATCGATCTTCTTGGGTTCCCTGCAGAGCAGAGGTGGAACAATGAGTGGTGAGCACCTCAGCAAACCCACGGCAGCTGCAGCAGCAGTCACGGCAATACAACAACTGCGACGACAGCGACAACGACAACGACAACAGCATCACCACCACCACCACCACCAACAACAACAACAAGAAGAATAATAATAATAACAACAACAACCCCAAAAACAACAACAACCACCACTGCAACAACAACAGCAACAAGAACAACTGCAACAACAACAGCAACGACGACCACAACAACAGCAGCACCAACGATTATATGATTGACCGCAGAGGAAAAGGACAATTACTAGTTGCATCAATGCTAGAGAAGTTTAGAGCTGGCATGCCACAACAGCAGCGGCGACAGGTTGCGATAAGAGCCCTTGCGAGACTGCATACGCATCAACATGCCGGTTTCAATGTAAGCATGTAACCATGTAGAAAACCGCTGTACAGTCCAAAAATCACAAGTCTTCGTCATTCTCATGCTACGAAGACAGGTAGTTGCACTGAATGTCCGAGAAACTGTTGAATGAGCTGCTAAACTTGGCTCCGTGGAGGCAGTGCGGCTTGAATTCAGACACCATGTCACCTCTGGACCATGCAAATGTTCAACAACGTCTTTGTATCCCTGCACAAACCATAAGCCCTGAAACTTAAGCCCATCGGCCCAGCAGGAGAAGAGTTATATGCATGCATGTACATATATGTTGGGTCATATATATATATATGCATATATATATATATACTTATTTATTTATTTATAGAGAGAGAGAGAGAGCGAGACAGAGAGAGAGAGAGAGTGAGAGAGGATGGTGAGTTGTGACGGGCTCGCAAGGACTCCGAGGTCTCGACTCCATCATCGGCCAGCTGGCGTGGATCTCAGCTTGAGATTCGGGCTGAGGACATATCGACATTTTTTTCCCTTATGGCTCCTTGTTGTAAGTATAGCATAGGAAGCCCCAAAGCCCTGTTCTAATTATTAAGGCCCCTAAGTGATACTTAGAGAACCTTGGCTTCGGGTGGGGTCCCGTGTACAGGATCCTGGGCAGGATTCTGCTATGCACTGTGGCTTCCACCCGGATCTTCCAAAATGAGCTGAGGCTTCGACAATGTCCGACATCCATGTAGTTGGTTGCTTTCCGGCCTGGTCTGCAGGATCATCGCCTAGGCTTCGGTTCTCGACTTTTCACGGAAGCCCCCGAAGCCAACCAACAGACCCCCAGCCAGCAACCAAGGCCTGAAAAATTACTCTACTCGACTCTGCTATGCTGTACTATGCTCTAGTCTGCTATGCTATGCGGTACTACTACACCACTATACTATACAAATTCAGTACTACACCTAAACCTATACTACAAAACGTGCACAATGTAGCTTTCATTTTAACATGGTATGTAGCCTTATACAGAGCGCAATATCAGTATCTTGCAATACAATACATTTCATTACAACCCACTACATTACAGTACCATACAACATAGCGCATGTCTCATATCAGACCTTGTCATACCATACCATATCATATCATTATACCAACTCATGCAATGTCATATTACACTGTATTATGCGAACTTATCTATAATGCTGTATGACCATATCATTTCGTTGCCGGTTATTACCTACAAAATCGACACTACTCAGTTCCCATTGATTTTTTGTTATGCTATGTGGAGCGATGTCTTATCATACTTCACTGCACCTTGTTGTTCAGTGTGTTCTTCCATGTTCCATTTCGTATACTTCAAGATGTTATAGTATGTGAGTGGCATGTTTTTTTTAGCGCTGTTGTCTTATACCATATCTTTAGATGACAGGTGGCATTGCTGCATTGTGTTCTTACAAAATGTAAGCGTCAAACTTCCTAGAAGGCTTACAATTAGTACTTATGCTAAGACCCACATCAGTGGCAGCAGTGATTCTCACATTAATATTAATATTTGAAGCCGCATGCATTTTCACTGTTTGTTTGCAGTAAAGATACATGCGCATAATTAGCATCATAACAAACAGACGAACGCCACCTAGGCCTGGAGCCAACAAGTGGTATTGGCAGGTTCCAATATCTGGTGAAGTTGTAAATACTGCGTGCTAATTACATGCCGCGTCATTGAAGGCTGCGGGCGAGATGCCCAATGCCGCCAGCCTTATCCTGGCACGGTCGTACATGGAATTGCAGGCACGGCTTCGGTTTTGGTGTACCTGCATCGGAGTTTCTCCCAGTTCTGACTATTTCTTTGTTGTTTCAATGATCGATAGCGGCACTTCGGCTCTTCACTGAGAAGCACAACTATTCTTATGCTGCTACCGGAGCTGGTGTCACGTTGTCGATGGCTCGGATATCGACGAGGATGCCATCGATGACGAGGGATGATGACTCTGGTGTTCATTACGCACGACGATGGCAAGCAGCCACTGATGTCGAAAAGGGTAGTACTGGCGATGTTGTGTACAGTTTTGCTTGTGATAACCATGGTGACTGTCATGCAGAGGTAGTGGTAGGCAAAGTAAGTACCTCTTGTGTGGAATTCCTTAAGCTCAATTAGAACAGCAAGCATCCTAACTTCTGACAACCCTACTTTGCTCCTTCACGCAGGGTTTCTTTAGCTCGGCCCTCGAAGCCCCACAGGCGTGGTGCCTTTCATACCAGACATGAGAGCTTGAACGAACTTGTGGCGGCTCTTATTTCGGATCACTTTAGGCTAGCTGAAAAACAACACGGAGAGTCTGGATCAATTCCGGGGAACTTACCAAAAATAAAACATACAAAGTATTAAACGCCGTGGCGGGACTTTCGCTGGCGCTTGGAACCCGAGTCTAGAACAGTCCTGCTCTTTTAGAAGCCTAATAATTACCAGGACTTGGGGTGCCTGTTGCAAGTATAATACAATCTACTAGCAACCTTTTTCAATTACTCAAGCCCCATTACCAAACCCTCATGACAACCCCTGAAAAAGAAAAAACCCTGAACGAACCCCGGGTTCTACTTCTCAAGACCCCTTTCTTTCTTACAGCTGCATAGCGAAGGCCGGTCAACATCCGAGCATGCCGCCACTTGAGGTGGGTCGGTGAAGGGCTAGCTGGAGTCCTAAGGACTGTTCTTTGGGTTTCAGGTTTCATTTGGGTTTAGGCTCCTTTTGGGCTTAGAGTTTAGAGGTTTGGGGTTCGGGTCCTTTGGGGCGTAGAGGTTAAGCTTTAAGTTTCGGGAGCTGCAATCTTGATGGATCTCGCAGTTCTACTTCGTCTGCTCCTATCGCTAGCGCTTGCTCAGAATGTTCGCTGCTGCTGCAACTGCCGTCACTGCCATCACCAAGTACTTAATGCCCCCTGCTGTCGCAACTGCCGTCACTGGCAATCACCAAGTACTTATTGCTGCTTCGGCCAGTTGTCGGTGAACTTTCGAATTCATGAGCTGAAAGCTTAGAGTCGTTAGGTGCTTCGTCCATAGGACATTCCATAACAATATGATCGGTTTCCGAAGATCCACTCTTGAGCAACTGCCACCCGAAGGCGTACTATACTTGACAGATACGATGACTGCCATTCAGCACGATCGTTGTCATCCATCGTCGATGATCAGTGCCACGTGCTTTGACACATTTACCTATCTTCCTGGATTCTGTAGCCATCAAGGAAACGCCTGCCTGCACCAGCGGCTCTAACAGTTTAACATCCAGTATCCTGGTTCTTGCTATGCTTTCCGGCATGACTCTTTAAACCCTCTACAAGCATCCCCCGACCCTCCGGCAGTGAGGCGGCGCCGGCTGCGCCCCCGCCGGTAAGCAAAGAGCCTCCTGTGGTGGCGAAGCTGCCGATACAGGTTTGACCGCCCTTTACTACTGGTCAGGGTATAAAGATTCAGTTCGCATGTGGCATCAAACAGGATGTACCTCGCTGCCACGATTCCTGGAGACACGTCGACTGGGTATTGGATCGATTTCTTTGTCCGCTGAAGTTCCGCTCTAGAACAGTAGTATAGGGGACTGTTACGGCTGGAACCTTCATCCGGGCATGAGGGGTTGAGGATTTTGACGTGTTTCGCGGTTTGGGTGCTAGGGTTTCATCTTTCATTGCCTTCTTCGTGCTGGTGACACGGCGACATACTGCGTGGTAACTGCATATTGGGCCTGACCCGCAACAGAGCGCACCTTGATTTATCTTGGCCATTTTTATTCTATAGCCCAAAACCCACAGCAGGCCCATCAGCCCTGAACCCCTATTGAATGTTGGGGAATGCTCTGGAAACCTTATGCAAAAAGAACCCACACAAACCCCCAATCCCTGCAAGCTGAACGCACCTTGAGTCCCGATCCTCAAACTGTAGACATGGCCAAGCCCCATAAGTCTTTGCATTGCAGGAGGCTATCAAGCCTCCCTCGAAGCAATCTCACGCCCTCCCCTCGTTGGAGGCCGGGGTTGATTTTGGTTGGGAGCCGGGGGTGGACGAAGGTTTGGCAGCGGCTTAAGGGATGTTTAGGATTTAGGGTTTAGGGTTTAGGGTTTGGGGCGGTATTTGAGCAACATGTTGGGGACAGCTTTGCAGCAGTGTGCTGCT